ATCATTTCATTGCAWCTTTGGCCTTTATGCTAAGCTATTTGTCTGAAATACCTCAGTGATTTCATGCATATTGGTACTTGAAGAGACCCTACAGGAAAGATGGAACAAGACTAATTTATAAGAACATATATTTGTCAGGACAAGGGGGAATGGCTTCAGACTGAACAAGTGGAGGGTTAGATGAGCTGTTAGAATAAGGTTCTTTACTGTGAGGGTGCTGAGGCACTGGAACAGGTTGCCCAGACAATCTGTGGGCTGCCTCATCTCTGCAAGTGTTCAAGGCCAGAGATTGGATGGGGCTTTGAGCATCCTGGTCTAGCAAAAAACAAAAGGCAACACACTGTGTCAATAGATTGAGCCAGGGAGGTGAGGCAGAGTATTTAGGTTTTGCTGTACACATCTAATAACGTATTTCAAATGGACCACAGCTTCTGGTTATGAGKACTTCCATTAAACATACTGCTGCAATTTAGTGTTCAATTGGAATTTGAAGCCTTAAGCTACTTCTCTCTCTGGCCTCAGATTTATTCATCTCCAGTACCTGAGATGCAGAAATGTGTTTATCCAAGTGATTACAGGTATCTGGATTGTTTATACTAAAATCATCCATCTTTGAGTTGCTGGAATTATGAAAATTACTAAGTCACAGAAAACAGAGGTGTTAAAAAGANTCTTGTTTTTTAAAACACTCTGCTCTACAGCAGCTGTATTTTTGCTTTGTCAGTCTTGAAAATCCATCATTGATATGCTTTGGCTTTGTCTTTGAAGAAGCTTCTAAGACACACTGCRTATCCATTATGCTCTCACAAAAGGAGAAATCTTTGTGCATCTCAAGTTTGTACTACAGAAATATCTGAATCCTGAATACATCCAAAGCTGGGGATTATTCTTCCATTTTCCTYTTCCTGTGTCATGGTTGACATAATTGTGATAAGACTTTCAACATTTGAAGCAGACCATCAGCTTTCTACTCTTAGTTTAAAATTTCAGCTTCTTGAGGTAGAAYTAATATTTTGATATTAACTTAGTTTCTAGTTTAATGTTGTACAAATTGCTTATGGCTAGCAGGATATAAAACTAAACCTTTTTTTTATCCAAAAGAACAAATTGAATTTGTATTTCTAATTTGCCTTACTCTTCTAGCSAGATTCAAGTTTGACATGTGTACTTGAATTCTAGGAAATAGTGAACTGTCTGTGAGTAATTCTCAGTGAAAAGTTACTCYAGAAAAACATGCCTAAATTTTGTTTTCTTTAAGGCAGTGTTATTTTTATGTGCTTGCCAGGGTTGTATTGTCACTGTGGGTGGGTAGTGGGAGGCAGGCAGTCATGCTGCAGRGTTTTATTATTTCTGGCTGGGAAAGGTGCCCGTTTGCCACAATGGCTTCTTTAGTTTTTCACGCCTCCTCTTCCCAGTTTGAAGCCTTGCAGCCCAGTGCTGCTGGTGGGTAGAGCTGTGTGCTCTGCAGAGAGCTGCTCCTGCAGGTCAGGCACACGGTGCCCCCGTGGATGGGACTCAGTGCAGGTCAATGACTTTCAGCACAGGTTGTCAACTCTTCAGCAGCACCAGGGAAGGGGTTTTCAGGCAGCTGCCTTTGCAAAAACATTGGGGAGTTATGTAGGGAACAAGTTTTCCTAAAGAAAAAGAGAAACATCAGGATTTTCTTAAACATAGAGGGCTGTAACCTCACCTATACAATTCCTGCTCCCTCTGAAAACAGTGATAAATCCAGGTATCTTCCATCATGTCAGCAACTGTTGCTACCATTCTACATCAGGGTTTCCTGAAGTTTGAACAAACCATACACATGTTACACACAAAAACTGGAATCCAGATATCTTTGCTGCTTCTGGCAGTACTGTGTGGGATGACTTTTCATTGCATTTGTGGAACCAGGAGTGTGCTGTGACACTGAGTCAGCCAGATGTGTTACTGCCATTCCAGTACGACAGGAGCCAGGGAAGAGGCAGCAGTTGTGGCAGGACTGCAAGAGAGTGAGGGTATGGACAGCTTGTACCTGGAAGGAATCAGTGGGTTGCCAATCTTTTAGTATGAGGTTCAGCAAAAAGAATCTGGAGCCGACCTCCAGCCAGTAAGTGACAGGGCAAGCAAGGCACAGCACAGCAAATAAGGTGGGTCCTCTGAGCCCTGTGTTCAGTGCCAGTTAAAACTTGACAACAGGACTTGTGAAACCAAGTACTAAGTAAAGTTGTTGGGTTTATGGAGCAGGTGAGTACTATGTAATGCTTTAGTTTCAAAACATCTAGACAGCAAGTAATGGAAAAGCCTAATTATTCTCCTTCATAGAGGAGACATTTAACTTGCAGGAGAACATTTTGTCACCACATGGTCTCCTTTTCTCTTCACCTGCCTTTATATTGCTCAACAGGATAAAAGTCTTCTCRTTTTTGAGTGCCTGCACTAAGATGAAATGTGCCTTGTAAATGCTGAAATAAACTATCTCAGGTGCTGACATTTCAATTGAATGAGATAAAATTCATCCAAAGTGTATTGCCTACTGTGGAGTATGTCTAAGTAATGCAGGTCTTTGTTTGCACTACCAGGAATACACTCTCATGGCCTGTTCTATGTTGTGCAGGACCTGGGTTCCCCAACAATAGAAGAACAAGTTGATCAGCCTACAATAGATGATGAGACTGTGCTTATTGTCCCTTCTTCTCATGGTTTTATCCAGGCAGCGGATGATATAGACAGTGAATCAGTCTTGCCCTTGACAACTCTCACAGGTATGACAGTCCCTTTCATTAAAGCAGTGTATAGCACTTTTGAGTCCCTGCAGATAACACTTCATAAATCCTTACTTTCCCTTAAATAATTTTACATGTCAATGATAGGAAACTTAAGTAACCCAACAACTACTCCTTCCCAGAGGAAGGCTCTGCCTGCAGAGCCATCAGAGGGTTAGCACTGATAGTGTCATACCTGATGGATCCAAATGCAGCTGTATCCATATCCATCCTCCTTGGTCATTACTTACCTTCTCTAAAGATCCTCAGAACTCACCTGGATTTGTTCCTGTGCAATATGTTCTAACTGAACCAGCTTTAGCAAAGGGTTGGAGTAGGAGATCTCCAGAGGTCCCTTCCAACCMCAGCTRTTCTGTGATTCTGTGAAACTAGAAATTGCAAGCTGCCTAGTTTGAGCAGTGTTGCTCATAATTGGTTAAAATTCCAGACTACATTTCCTGTCTCCTACATTTTTATTTTATATCTTGTTAAAATGGCAATAGTCTAATGTTTTTTGTSTCTTGACAGATCCTATCCTACAACATCATGGAGATGGGTCACACATTATTGGCTCATCTTTGGGCAGTCCTGACTCAGAAGATTCAAAGGATGTTGAGGATTTAGTGAGCTGTCACTGAGAAGCAGCGATGGTGTCCATTTTCTATTGACCATGTTTGCGTTGTGAAATTAGTTACAACCCTGTGCCACATTTCCAAAGAAAGCAGTCAGAGTCTGTCTTTGAACAGAAACTTGCAGTGTGAAATGACTGTGGTGCACTTTTCTCTGCTCAGGCTGTTTCCCTCATCTGAGAGGGGAAACCGAGCCACCAACTGAGGCCTGGAGGTGCCAAGTGTCACTGGGGTGTTCCAGTGTCCTGAARAGCCTCTGTTGCAGTGCTCATTGCTCAGATCCATMCAGTCAGTTCTGATCTGACACGTTMCTGATGTGCTSAACAGCACATGTRGAAAACTGGACAGAAGTCAAGGATTGTGGACTGWGCCTCTTAGTGCCACAGCAAGTATTAGTTTGCACAGGTTTCATGAAGATTGAGCGAGCAATTTCTGCACTTACTGACTCTTGTAATACATGGAGTAAGAGACTGTTACATTTCAGGAAGGAATGAGTTCCATCAAAGACTTCAGGGAGCATGGGCARCATCACGAAGCAGTGGTGTGTATTCCCATCTCATCTGATTCTGTGTCTGTGGCATAAGAAGGCAGAAGCTTATGGGACTTGCCTGGTTCCTGAAGAGTCCGTTGCTGGCAACGGACAGAGCTTGGAGACATCGCTTGTGGAAAACGWTTTCTTGGTTTTGGTTTTCTTTTCTCTCATCACTACAGTAAACTGAATAAAAAGGGAAGGGCTATGAGAAAAGGGAAGCTACTGGGACCCACCGGCCTCCCCGCCACAAGCTTGGAATTTCTTGGAGATTGTTGTGAGTAGGTTGGAACATTTGTCTCTCTCGTACCTGACACTACCAGCCACCTCTCCAGAGGTGAGTCCTGCAGCAAGTTAGTAGATGGGGAGTGATGTGAAGGTGGCAAAGTCTTGGAGAAATAGCTCTGTGAGAGTTTGGACATAGGGCCCTGAGGCAAAGGAGGCCAATTAATTCCTACATTGTTTGAAACAGACACTAGGCTGAGCAGCAGCCTGTTAGCTAGGAATCAAGAGAAAAAGCTATAGAAACTAAAGACTTGTATAAATTATTTTATTTATTTCTGTAATTAGCTCTTCATAATCAAGAGTTGGTCTTTTTCAGTCTGTGGTTTTGTTAATGTGAAAAATAAGTTGTAGTTTTAAATGGTTGCCTAGGGAACAGAAATAATTGTATATTCAGTTTCAGCAAAATAAAGAGTATTTGTCTTACTTGACTGTAAGATGCCATTTATTTATACTGCCACAGATCCTTTCAATGCTGCAGTTTATTTGTACAGTAATAAAAAAAGTGCAGTTTTTTCCAAAATGAAAAAGCTTGTGCCATTCTGAAACATCAGTACAACTGGAATGTTCATTAAGYGCAACAGTAGCTCTTCAAAAAAAAGCAGAATGTCACGTCTTATGGCAATAATTCTCCCCAACAAGAGGGACATTACATATACATTTACATGAAAATCATGTACTGATTTATCCTTGCACAACCCACTTCTKTCCTCTCAGGCTGATTGTTCTCACTTAAATGTCTCGAGTGGAGCTGAGAGCTGAGCTGGAAGCAGTCTGGCACAGTAGCATCATTGCTGGGTATTCCCAGTGTCCTTCATTTACCCACTTCGTGGAAGTACAGGTTGGCACATATACATAACATGACAATAGAAAACAATATGTAGTAAATTAGATTTCTAAATTTGGGTTCCAGGTCTCCTTGTCGATACCAGTAGATCTAGAAGAGAAAAGGAGTTTGTATTACTTTAAAAAGCCAGGTACTTCTGAGAAAACTTTTTATGGTAACTGAACTGGTAACTTGGTCTAGTTTKGGGTGTTTTTCCTCCTGTAAAACAATCCAGCTTTCTCTGGCCAGAGAGACTGTGTGTTTGTGTGTGAAACTCTCCCTGAGGACATGTGCTGTCTGCTCAGCTTTGCTGAGAGAGAGGGAGGGAGGGAGGGTGGCTTATCTGGGGGTGTTTTAACACTCAAAGCTGRCTACACCCTGCTGGATGAGGACAAACATCAGCTTTGCACTAACACAGTCTATTCTGGGCAGAGCCGGGGCCATCAGCTGTAGGATCAGAAACTGGAACTGACCAGGTAAYGCAGAGCMACTTCCCAGCATAGCCAGCAGTGAMGGCTTCAGGGCTGTTCAGGCYACAGYTGGAGGAAGGAGACTGCTCCAAGTATGGAAAGCTGCAGCAAAAGGAGCCACCAATGTCCCTGCCCATGGAWTGGGCATTGGACTAGATGGTCTKTGACAGCCCCTTCCAGCCCAGACTGGGATTCTGTGAACTCAGACCTACCAGTTCCCTCTGCCAGTGCTTGGGACCAACTTCCTTAGGATTCTACAGCTGCTGAGTAAGAGGAACATCTTCCACTTGYTGTAGCTTCCTGCCCCTGTACTCATTCCCTGTGTTTGAAAGGCCACTAACTAATGCCAGTGTTTGGCTAATCTCACTCCTGCAGCACAATCTCTGCATTCCCATTTCACTGCTTTGCTCCCTGCTTTCCTACTCTTGTGTCTCCATTGGCAGCTGTAGGTGGCAGTGCCACAGAGGTGACAAGTCTTGCACCACAGCTGGGCTGCAGGAGTTGGCTCAGTTCACACACACTCTGCAGTAAATACAAAACTCATTACCACTCCCTCACTGTCAGCTTGTGTTATGGAGGCAGGAAAGCTTTTCTAGGAGAGTGTAAAAAGGAAGGCGGCACCACGTAAAGCAGATTTTATTCAGAGCCATCGACTCAAAAGCACGGCAAAGGTGGCGGTACTTACAAGAATGCCAGCAGAAATGCAACACAAGGAGATGCAGAAAGCAAAAAATACATTCACAGGTTTTGGAGGTAGTTGCGGGAAGACAAAAGCACTGATTAGAGTGACCTGTATGGAGGAAAACAAAGATGAGGACTTTGCTCTCGCCAGAGCTGCGATGAGAAGAGGCTCAGCCCGAGGGCTGGAGCAGCACCACTCTCACATCCTGCTCTGCACATCCCTCCCTGCTTTGACTCCCATCCCGTGAGGAGCTGAAGGAAAATTCTGGAGGAAAATCACTTTGATACAACAGCACGCTGAGAGGGGTGGAAAAAGAAACTATGAAAGCTTTGCCACCCTGGCTTGTTGCCAGAATCCACCCTCAAGTACCCGTGAAGCCATCAGGCCTGCAAGTGCACATTGGCCATAGAGGAGCATCCCTTAGCCAAGTGTTCCACCAGTGGCACCTCATCTGTCCCCACAGCCTCCCTGCACCTCCGCTCTCCAACAATCCCCCCTGGACCCCACAAGTGATGGTCTCCAGTCACGATGGCGTTGGCTTTGCCTTTAAAGCTTGGGGAAAGCACAGCTCAGCACAAAGGGACACACTTTGGAAAGACTTGTATAAGCCATAAATAGAGGACAATAAATSATAAATAGAAGGAAATAGAAGCAAACATGCTCTGCTGGGACATAAACACTTTGTTGTCTCACCCAGCTTCACGTTCATCCAGGATGGATGATCTACTAGAGAACCAGAGGATTTTATTGCAGCTTTTAAAAGATGTTGTCAAAGAAATTCAAAAGACAGATATGTCCCAAAGTGACTACCTGCCCTAWATTAGAGCCTGTTTGGTCATTGGAAGTTTCACCATCCATTTTTGGGGAGGAATTCTGGTTTTATCCCTGTCACCTAAAGGTGCAACATGGGGTGGGGTGGGAGATACTTACTAGAAGCAGCAAGGTTGTTAAGCCACCAACAACTAGATTGATGATTCTGTCCTGAAGAAAAGAGAAGAAAGAGTGTTACGTGTACCAAAAAAAAAAAAACAACCAAAAAAACCCCAAACCATGTTAAACAGACCATTAACTAATAACACTGAGAGCATCAGCCAGGATCCACGTTATCTCTACCTCACTGCCGAGGCTCCCTGGTCAGCCCTGCCACACAGGAAGGTTTCCCTCCCTCCACAGACCCTTCTGAGGTTGTACTGGTCAAGGCCTCACAGAGCAGGTTTGCTTGTTTGCAAATGACTTTGCTACATCTAAATTGATTACAGCTGTGCAAATTATTTTTAAATCTTTGTTTTAAAGTGGGAGTGCACAGATGGAGGTTGACAGAAARAGCTTTTTTTTAGCCTCACTGCCTGAGAATTAATAGATTGATAGTCTTAGGTGGGAATTTGTGGGCTGCTGGTAAGAAGGTGAAGTGTTGCCCACACCCCAAACGTTCCACCCTAACACCAGCAGATCTGAAAATGCCACACAGTGGCTCTGCTTGGACGGGCAGATATCCCCCCACACTTCTTTCTGCTGCTCCCATCAGTACAAAACAACTGACTGGAAGGAGACAAGCTTTTTGCACCTGGGAAGAGAGATCCTTCAGTGCCAGCATCACAGTCCCATCCCAGTGGCATCTGGGCAGGGACTGGCTGTGACACTGGGCTGTGTGAGCATGGGCTCAGAGGAACACCCAGGGCAAGACTGGTGCACCTGGAGTAAAACACAGCCTGAAGGAAAAGGAGAACACTCCCATCCCTGCCAGCTCACTGCCTCCTCGTGGCACTGCTTGGAGTATAAACAGATACCACCACAGTCAGACTAGGCTGCACACAGCCAGGTGGAACACCCCAGATGGCTGACAACTCAAAGACTAAAAGAACAGCTACAGCAGAAAAGATGTGCAGAGAGAAAACTCCATGAACTTCAATTTATCAYACTGAGAGTCATTAAGTAGGTATGGTGAAAGGAAAGTCAGAAAAGAGTTTGAGCAGTGAAAGCATTTTGCCCAAATCACAGGCAGGGAGGGCAGCATGAGCTTCCCTCCATCTGCTCTTCCACCATTCCTCCCTCCTAGAATCTGTAGAGGGAGAAKGTCAATGAAGATCATGAAGAAATAACACATGGCAGGAGAGGGGCACGAGAAGAAAGCAGAGAGCAAAGAGGAGGCAGAGATGCAAATCATGCTTTTGTGGGAAACCACCGGTCCTGACCTAAGGCTCTGTGGAGCTCGGGTTCAGGTGGTTCAGGAACAGGTGGATGCTGTGCCCTGCTTGTGTTCATCCCCAAGGGAAAGGGCCACAGCAGGCAGACTCTTTGAAACCTCTTCCATCAGTCCCCAGCTTGTCTACGTAAAAGAAGACAATTGATGCTCTTGCAGCTCAGAGGCCCCAAATTGGGGGCACAGCAGTGACTGCAGCAGTGGGAAGTGACCCTTCCCCTCCACAGGAAATGGTCATCAACATCCCCTGTCCGAGGCCCTCAGCAGCCAGGCACAAACCCCATCTCCTCACCAGTGTTTCTGCACACAGAAAGTGATATAACAGCAGCCTCTGAGAGCCAGCTGCAAGATACCCACCACTGAGCACAAAAAAGGAACCAAAAGAAATAACTTCAGGCAAATAAGAGAAGCAATGGGGCAAAATGTATGCCTGAAATACCTCATGTGTGCTTATCGTGACAGCTCAACTGGACTCCCCCACCTAACCTAAAATAAATAAAAGAACTCAAAGCTAACTTTAATTTAGACAGGGCATGGAAGGGTCCTTAMCCCCAAAAGCCACTTCAGCACCAGGTGAGGATGACAGTTTTGCTCTGCCCTTGCCCTGCAGACCTGGCTGAGCCCACCAAGGAAATGTTATGGAGGGGGACCAGAGTTTGCATTCAGGCTCGGCTCCTTCATTCAGGGTGTCAAGAGATGAGCAGCTGGATCCCTTGTGCCATGAGGAGATGGTTTCCAGCAGCAGGGATAGCAGGGAATGCCAAGGAGCCACCTGCAGAGCAGCAGTGGGTCACCATCCTGCAGAGCTCACCTGGTGAGCACAGTCACAGCCAACTCCCTGCAGAGTGCTCAGAGTCACTGTCCAGAAATTCAACCATGACTGTGCTTTTCCTAATGGTGCAAGGACAAAGGCTGGACTGGCAGGAGAAAACAAGGGGGTCACMCTTGGCAGTGACCATGGAGCATTTCTCTCTGAGTGTTCAGAGTGTAGGGGAGAGCATCCCACAGCACAGGGACCTCCCATCTCCCACTGCTGAGTGAGACTTTGCAGTGACAGCCGGATCAGGTACGGACGCTGGCACCGGAGCACGTGGCATCCAGTCCCTGCACTCAGGGCATCCCCTTCCCTGTGCTCAAACCTGCRGTCACTCAAATTTCCAAATGCGCTGCCGGCAGAAGTATTTCAGGATCTGGGGATTAGAGACACTGATCCTGAAATCCCGGGCTTGGCAGAGCGGTGAGAGGCTGKATTCCCCAGTGCCCGCTGACACTTCAGCCCCAGGCAGCTTAGCACAGCAAAAAGGTTAAAAATACTCAAGCAGAGGCCAAGACGGCTAAAGGGATTGGGGATGACGGAGCCTTTCACCTCCACACCGTGTCCGAGCGCTCAGCCCGGCCTGGGCAGACACTCCTGGATACTGGGCACACAAAAACTGGCTGTGATGAGCCCTTATGTCCTACATGACACCCAGCTGGCACAGCCAGCTCTCASAACCAGCACAGCTGATTCAGGGAGGATTTTCCTCCAGCATCACTATGTATTGTAAGAGCTGCTAGAGTAAAAAGACAAAAAAAGCCCAGCAGGCACGCCAGAACAGAGAGCCTGCAGCTGCTTGAGGTCACCTGGACCAGCACAGGATACTGGCACACACACACCAACCTCTGATAAAGCCCAGAACTSCCTCCATGGGGGTCCCCATTCAGCCAGCCAGCCAGCACACATCCCCTGTGTGGCCAAGATGTAGTGAGCTGTTGGCCACACAGGGGATGAATCCCATGTTTCACTGTTGCACAAGCTGMATTTTGAAACAGGAGGGTTTCTGCCCTCTCCTTCTCTGGGGACAGTGTTGCAGGGGCTGGAGGCATCAGGCTTTTCCCAGGGTGCTTCTGCAGGGCAGAGGTCTCCCTCCATCTGCCTCTGACATAAGGTCAGGAAGTGCCAAATCCTTGCAAAGCACGAGGACACAATCCAGGATTCTTTAAGATCTGGGTCAAGGTTACTTGGAGCAGCAGGGAAACTGAGGCAGCAATGAGATTGCATCTTCACCACTGCACCCCCATCACAGGCATTGACAGAGGCACCTTTGCTCTTCGCCCCATTCCCGCTCAGCACTGTCCATCCTCTCATCCTCCAGCCCACCGGGATCCCAGCAGAGCCTTGGCCAGGAGAAGGGAACGGGCTGGGCCCCTGGAGCGTGGGTACCTGGTGCCATCTCTGCAGGAGTGATGGAAAGGCCATTTTTATGCCTTACATCAGCAAGTCCAGATGGTCAGCAGCATTTCTGCCTGCTGCAGCCATGGGGGATGCCTGAATGCAGTGCCAGACCCTGCCTCSTGGAATCACAGGCAATACAAGCTGTGCTCACGGCCATGCTGGCCACCCGCCCTCTGCAAGACATGGGGACTTCCCCATGTGTCCTCGAAGGCTCATCATTTCCTCCACTAGCTGTTCAATCTATTGCTTTCTGCTTCAATTCTGCCTTAATTCTGCAATTACCTCCCACCAAYTCATACRTAAATGCTCCCATCATGGAGGAACSCAAYTTCCAACTTTTTTCCCAAGAAGTGCTGCACCTGTGACACTCTGTCCCCTCTTTGCCACCGCACAGCTGGGCCTTTGTGTTGTCTCACACCCGTCACTGGCAGTGCTGCATCCCTGGAAACCACAGCTGGATCCAGAGCACTGGCATTCATCAGTGTTGCTACACTCCCTCCTCCCAGCAGCGACTCCTTTGGTCCCACCGTGCCCCAGTCTCTGCTCAGCCATCCGAGTGTGGCAGGAGCAGCTGGACCACAGCAGGGCAAGGAGGGCGATGCTGCTGCCAGCTCTGCCATCCCTAAATGCCTGTAGCCTCCAAATCACCAGCTGGGAGACCAGGAGAGAGCAAAAAGGCAGGAAGAGGAAATCCCCGTCTCTACATCCATTTCCAGCTGCTGGTAAGGGTATGAGACCCCTAATTTTGGGTGCAGGGCTTCCTGGAGCACAAGCACTGTCGCTGCCCCTCCCTGTGGCCCCAGCCTGAGCGCAAGGTCCTGTTTTGCCAGGAAAGAAGCCATCACTTGCAGAGACCCAGAAACAGAGCTGGGGCGGGAGCAGGCACACTTCTCCCGGCAGACCTGCTCCCATTTAAAGGCAAAGTTTAGCTTCTTCTCTGACACGGAACGTTTCCAGCTCGGGACCTGACCAGCGTCTGTTTCTAAGCAACCCCAGTGAATCGGGGAGGAAACGACCCCGGGCCAGCACAGTGATCCCTTGTGTGTTGGACACGGGCACAGCAGTGAGAGGCCATTGGCTGCTGCTCGGCCCATGCGACAGGTTCCAAAARAGCCACAGGAGATAGGCAGGGGGTGAAGTGCAGGACGCTGGATCCCCGTTAGAGCCCAGGAACTGAAATTAGCCTCCCATCCTTTGCGAGCACAGCCGTAGCTGGAAAAAGACAAGGATCAGGGATCGGAGGCTTAACCCGGGCTGAAAAGTTTGGGGGTTGCCTGCCAGGATTGCCACCCAGCTGTGATGGCACATCCCGGTCCCCACAAGTGGCCATCGCGGGGAGCTTCCCAAAATCCCTGACCCAGGACTGTCCAACAGGACCCAAGTGCAGGGCACTGCTCCAGCCAAGGCACCTTTGCCTGCAGTGCTCCCCACCAGGGCCGGTGGGGGATATCTGCCCCCCTCAGTTCATCTTGGGGTCCTGCCCGTCCTCCTATGCCACATCATTCTGTTTTTCCCTGAAAATCCGACTGGTATCAATTTATGTTTTCATTAAACATTATCACTAGCGGCAGTTCCAAGTACTTGCAGGGAGGGCGGTGATGCATTTGATACACTTGTGAATAATCTCACGCAGTTTCAGCCTGTGTCCCCTGAGCACACATACACGTGTGGGTCACCTCTCCAAAGAGGGGACAAACCCTAAATCACAAACCGATCATGAGACACCTCCAGGTACCGCGATTGCCGAGGGATCGGATGGGGGCAGCCCCAGGAGCCCCCTCCCCAGCACAGCCCCCCGAAGCAGCGCCGGCCCGCAGCGGTGCCGAGAGCTGAGCGGCTTACGGGGRTTGACACCTGAAGAGCCGGGGCTGCCACACGGCAGCCAAGGAGAGCCACTGCCGGCTCCTCCAGCCCAGGAGAAAAATCAGTTCCCGGAAGGGCACCAAACGCAGYCCCCCATCCCCATCCCAGCAAAGACCCCCCGAATTGGGTGAGAGGCAGCCTGGGGTGCTGCGACCCCAAAGCCCTGCCTGGGGGGCTGCGAGACACACTCGGATGGGACACAGTGGCTGTGTGACCCCCTGCCCGTGCCCAAACCCTCTCCCAGCCCCACTGCGAGGGTCTCCCCGACCCTGGCACTGTCTGCACCCTTAGCCCCAACTCCCCACCGGGGCTTTGGGGGGATGTTGCTTTGGGGGAGATTACTTGAAAGTTGATTTMCTTGRGGGRGTTGTTTTCTGATTTTTTTTWTTTAAGGAGSGGGTCTTKCTAGGGGTGTWAYGGAGATATGGTTTGGGKKKTTTTAATTTGGRTCAGKGTTTGGGGTGAGTTTGATGGATTATTTTGGTTTGGGGCACTAATCARAAGGGGGTTGTTTTTGTTTCATTTCAGAGGGTTTTTTTATATAATTACGCCAATTTTAAGCTTTTTATTCTATTGGAATTTGGGGGGCTCCTTTTCTATTTTTCCATTGCGGTGCAGCCTTTCTGATTTTTGATGCTGTTTGAGGGGGGAGGACTGAGGATTCTTCCTTATTTCATAGGGGTTTTTAATTTGTTTGCAGGATTCGGGCAGGTTCCTCGCTCGGGCCGGCCGCTCGGCTGCCTGCGGCGCTCCGTGCCGAGCTCGGGGGCAGGGGGTGGGAGCCGCCGCTGTCCGGGGCGGCCGGGGAGGAGGCTCCTCACTACCGGGGGGCACTTACGGCGGGAGGRTGGGGAGGGGAGGACAGCGGGACTTTTTGCTGCATTTTCTCGGCTGCGGTTGGCTTTGGCGCGGGGTTGTTTTCGGGGAGGGGGGTGCCGCGGGCGGCCGCCGGTGCGGCGGAGCGCTGTCCCTTACCCTGGCCGAGGTCTCCCCGAAGAGCGGCCGGTTGTCCGCGCCGCCGGTGCCGTACCCGCGGGCGGGGAATCCCTCCATGGCGCGGGGGCGCTGCGCCGGTGGCCGCGGGAGGGCGCCCGCTCATGCTGCGCCTCCCCCCGCCCTGCGCGGCCCCTGCGCGGGATGGCACCGCGGTGGCGGTGGCACGGTGGCGATGGCGGTGGCACGGCGGTGGCAATGGCAATGGCGGTGGCGATGGCAATGCGAGGGGCGGGGGCGGCTCCGCGGGACCTGCGCGGGTGCGGAGCCGCCAGCCCGGCCTGCGCGGGGGGAGGGAGGGAGGGAGGGAGGGCAGGGGAGGGGCCAGCGCGCCGCCGCTGACTGGGCCGATTTGTTGCTCAACAAAGTTGCGGTATTTGAGCAAAGCTCATTATGGATGATGATACGGCAACTCGGGGAAAGGAACTTGATTTGATTTGATTTCGATTTCATTTGATTTCGATTTCATTTGATTTTTCTTATTATATATTTTATTTTATTATTCTTACTATATTTTTCTTTTATTTTGTTTTCTTTTGTTATGTTTTACTCTCATAGAATCACAGAAGCAGAATATCCTGAGTTGGAAGGGATGCACAAATAACCAACTCGTGGCCCTGCACAGGACACCCCACAAATCCCACCCTGTACCTGAGAGCATTGTCCAAGTGCTTCTTGAACTCTGTCAAAYTCAGTGCTGTGAGCACTGTTCCAGTGCTCAGCCCCCCTGTAGGTGAAGAACCTTTTSCTGATAKCTAACTTAACCTTTATTTTATAGTGTTGTATTTTGTTCCAGTGCTCAGCCACCCTATAGGTGAAGAACCTTTTCCTGATAGCTAACTTAACCTTTATTTTATAGTGTTGTATTTTGTTCCAGTGCTCAGCCACCCTATAGGTGAAGAACCTTTTCCTGATAGCTACCTTAACCTTTATTTTATAGTGTTGCATTTTTCTTATTTTATATTTTATTTTTATTTTATTCTATCTTACTTTCTTTTATTGGAGGCRCTTATTGGTTTATTTGTTTTTAAACATCTGACGCTGCTAGAGCTGAAAAATGAATGTATATAACGTCTTCCTAGTCACCTACATGTGTTGCCTACCTAAACTAGATAAAAGGGAGGAATTATGCCTGGGGCTGGGATTGCTGGCAGTGAAACATTCTTTAGCCAAAGTTTTCCCATTTACTGTTGCTGCTTAGGATAAAGCTTGYTGCTCCTGCTGCTTTGGACCTGAAGATAGGTTGGCATGTGAGAAAGCTTGGGGGCATTAATTTTATTTTTTTTTTAATTTAGATTTTCATTTATTTTAATTTTTATTTATTTYCCTTTTACCTTATTTTAATTTTACTTATTTTAATTTTTATTTAAATCTGTATTTATTGATTTTTTTTWAAAAAATTACTTYGWAATTAGCTTCATTTTTTCTAGCTACATCATTTGCTCTCAGAAAATAGCTTTCCTCTTGGATATCCTCCAGACCATCATGGATACAACCTTTCTCCAAGTGCATTTTAGAATGAAAATAAACCAGCTAAGATGCATTAAATGTCATGGCATCCAGGACAGATTTTAAGTTTTTTGTTCAGACAAACTCGGCGGTTTCCTCCCAGCCTTGCTGGACCTGCCACAYACCTCTCCAGGAATTCCAGGGGGCTTTTTGCCTTGAGAGACTACCTCCCCTAAATRTCACTAGAATTTAGCAGAAATAACATGGACATTTACTTCTTGCTGGATAGAAAACATTTATAGGCCAGATCTGTAGGTGAAAAGATCAGAAAGAAGAAAATGAGCTGCAGATATGAATTGTCAGAGCAGTTGTTCCAATTCCTGTCACCCCCAATCATCCAAGGTCACCCCGTAGGCCACTGGACACGGGTCAGTGCAGCTCCCGGCTCTTGAGCAAGAGCCCAGTGAAATCAGCCACTTCTCTTGCGAAACATTTCTGTCATTTTAGGTCAAAAGTGCTGCCGGAACCGCTTGACCTTGGGCCGTGCTGTGTTCACACGGCTCGGGARTACTCGATCTCCTCTCAGCCTCTGCACCCAACACGCTCAGAGACCAAAGTGCCGCTGCTTCAAAGATGAAAAGTACTGAATTCAAGTAAGGCCAGAAAATGATCACGGTTTCAATAAGCTGAAGTACTGGGTGGGGAGTCACAAAGGTCTCCTGTAACCTTCCAGCAGTCWTTCCCAGGCTAAATGTTGGGAAAGAAGGGTCTCCAGAACTCAGTTGAGAGACTCTTCATGTCCTCTTGAGCCACTTGGAAAAAACAATCCCCAGGTGTCAAGAATGTGGCTTCCTGACACACAAGTGCTCTTGACCTACAGAACGGTTGGTTCTCTACTTATTTTTCAGCACTTGTATATTAATTATATTCCTGAGCAGGCTCCTGCTGTGCCCAGATTAAATACTGAGGGGTTTATGGGGTCTGGGTGGGGCACAGGGGTGGCTGGAGGGAAGGATTGTGGAAGTGCCCTGCATCATGTACTGCATTTATATTTGCAGTTATGGGACAAAGGGACATAACCTTCTTCCAACATCTGCTGAATAACTGAGAACAAATGCAAAGCACAGGCAAAACTTGCTGAAAACCACAAACTGTTACTTGCACATAAACAGCATCAACAATCAGTGAATATGAGAACAGGAGAGTTGTTACTCCGCCCATGCTTTGTTGTAGTATGTTGCTGTTTAAGTGTTAACCATCTTCTCCACTTAACAGATCTTCAGCTCTCCCACCTGGACCACTCACAAGTACTTTGTGGGAGATGTGATCACTTAGTAGACAGAAGCTCTAACTTGTTGAGTCTGATTGAGCCATTAACATGACAAACCAAACAGATCCACTTCTTTCTACAATTCAAAGTAAGTGCATCAATCTTTAGTGAAAACTACCTATGCTTCTCTGGCCTGAAACAAAAAAAAACAACTTGCTTTTTAATGGAGGAGGTCATATTACAGGAAATTTTGGTTGCTTTAACGTTGGAAAGGTTTGTACTGCTCAGTTGGACACAACTCCCTTGGTCTAATTTAGCGTATTTTACATTTATCGCAGCTGGCTGCATCTGTTAGAGCAGTTCCAAGCTTTATATGCTGAGCTTTAGCTCTCCTTTCTCAAAAATATTCCTGGCATTACTTCCAATAAATAGATTTGGCCCATAAATTGCAGAGAGYTTTGGAGTCTCTTCAGAACATCAGCACCATAGACTGTAAGAGAATATATGCTTTCTCCTGTCTAATATTTTATTTATATTAAAAGTCATCATTGCTTTTTCCCTGCACTTGTATTGAAGGTTCAATTCAGCACATATATGAAAATTTCTGATATATCCCAAGGCTAATTATATATCACTGTCATTGATGCTGCTGGTGTAAGTCACCAGCTGGCTGTTGGGAGTCCCGGGGTGGAGGTCAGTAACTCTTCTGGGCAGGCAGTGCTGCCTTCAGCCCCTCACCAACCTGGCTCCCTGATGCTCTGCGTGTCCTTTCAAGAGATCTAATGTACTGGGGCTTCTAATGCATCCATTTATTCCATAACTCGTTGGTAGCAGGGGCTTTCTGCTGCAATTTATCTTAGTCTCAGCTCCAGCAAGAGCAGACCCTGCTCTCCTGTCTCCTTCCCCGTAGCGATTTCAGCTTCCCGACACAGCCATTACTGATCACGGCCTGGTAATTGGTTTTTGCACTATTAAATCAGCYTTCACCTCCCAGCACGATGGCCCTTGGGCTATTCTGTTTGGCACACTTTATTTTGAAATGATACCAGTTTCCTCAGAGCTTTCTAACAAAGCTTCCACAACACAAAATTCCTGGAGCACCCAGGAGCTGTTTTCATCTGTGTTTTCAAGTCCAAAGGAAAYGTAACAAACTTGGTTTGTTAGAATGGACTTTAATCTCATCTCTATCGGCCCCCTACCTAAGAAAATACTCGGGAAGAGGAATAAATGGACAAGACGTTTACAACACTGGAGAGCTGGATTTGCCTCCCTCTGCAGAAAGGATATTTAGAGGATAGCCAGCACATCCCCTTCTCCAGAGTGAGTGGCATGATTTTTTCCAATTAATCCTGCYATGCTGAGATTGTACATTTCTTGCCTTTGCTGGGGGCACATGTTCTGCTGACAAGACAGGAAGTTTCTGCAGACRGTGTGTGAAAGGAGAAGAGAATCCAAAACCTTTAAGTTTTGCCGTTCTCATGATCAGTTTTACATAGTAGCTGCCTATAAGGACCAAAAGATTATTTTAAAACTGGTACCAAGTGTCACAGGCATATTCAAACTTAAAAAAAATTTAGTGATGAATTTCCAGTATACCCCAGGTGTAATCTAGTGRTGTAGCCAAAGGTCTGTGCCTGCATCTTTCAGCTGATGGTAGCTTTTCTTAAGTCTCTGCCTTACAGCTTTCAGATATTTTCCCCTAAACAAGGATTCATGCATTAATTCAGTGTTAATGGAGAAGCTGAGTGGCACTGGGACCCATGGGATGCCACAAAGGGAACACAGCACCGCTGGAGTGACACCCACTGGCACCATGAGGCTGGAGCTGATGTGAGCAGCCCATATTCAACAGCTCCCTGGACTTTACGGCGTTGCTTGGGGCGTGGGGAGGAACATCAACCCATCAGGAGGAGAAAAACAACCACGGCCTTTTATCTTTCACAGCCAAGGAGAGAGAGGTCTGGGGAGGCAGTCAGCAGAGGGAGGCACAAGCTCACAGATTCGGTGCAAACCTCAGCCCGTGGCGTTCCTCCGAGCTCTGGAATGCAGGCAGCGGGCTTCAAACGGTTCTGCAAAACTATTTCATTTCACATTTTCCACATTTATGCTTAGCTCTTGGACATCAGATGAGAGACTGAGCAAATGAGGAAGCTGAAACATTCTAATTCAAGGATGTGTTGTCTGAATTATTCATTATAATCTTCGTTCTCCTGTGGGTTTTTAGGCATTTGAATTTTATGAGGATTGTGGATTCTTCCTCTTTTACATTATTTTCCTTAATGTATTGAAGAGGATTTCCCATCTGCTCCTTCATGCTCCAAAATCTCAGCTGAAAGAGTCACAGTGTCCGATAGATTTAGAGAAAAATATCCTCAATATTTTTTATTTTTTGGGAAAAAATCTTCAAAAAGATAAATGTTTCATTAATATATGCATGTGTGTGCATATATAATGCAAATTTCCCTCCTGGGCTTCTGATACATGTATAAGCAGTTTACCAACTGCTCCTCTGAGCTGGTGGCAGACATTTAAGTGGGGCAGCAGCTGTGGGGCTGCTTCAAAACACCCCTTTGAAGAGCAGAGGAAAAAGCTCAGTGTGACACCGGTGGTTACACACCAGCTGAACAAAACAGCCCTTTATCTGCTGCATCTGCAAGTCAGACATCACCTGTCACCCCCCCAAGGGTGGCAGGAACATCACAGGGAAATCTGCATTGATACTGATCTTCAAGAAGRAAAAAGCTACTTTGAATGGCAAAAAGACACAGAGCAGCAGTACCACCTCCTGATTTTGCAGGTTTTCCATCTTATCATTTAAACTTTCCACAGTGGAATGAACAGAAAAGAAAATTATCCACCTCTTTGTCTTTCCTTATTACGTGCATATGCTCCCCTTGGCACTGGCACAGCCTTAAAATGCAGAATTTTGTGATGGYCTGCAGAGAGGTGAGATGAAAGACCTTCTCTGCCCACAGCAAGCATGGTTTGCTGTGCCAGGAGAGGTCATCCACCAGCAGKGAGGGGCTGTGTGACTCGTCTGTCTTCCTGAGCCGCCTTAAGGCTACCAGTCACCCAAGCACAATCTGGGAGGAGATTTTCCTCCCAAAACTCCGTGTTCCCAGGGCACACAGTCGATTAAACAATGGCTAGCCAGAAGCTGACTAAAATCTGCCTAAAATCCAGACTGCTGCCTCTTGTGCTGAAATGTTTCCAGCTGGCACTGCCCCAACCGCAGGCTTTTTTCTTCTCCATGGGCATGTGCAATTCAAAACCTGCAGTGGCTACAGCCTCTGAATTGAAAAGCAAGTCATGCAAATCCTGATTGCACAAGGGAGCTGTTATCTTACTAAAGTTTACGGATTTCACAGAGTCTGAGGCTGGAGAGCTCCATTCCAAGTGAGAGGTTGAACTCAGGGTCTCGCACAGCACAAGTCGCTGCTTAGAGTCAGGTAGCTCCGGGCTGACTGATGACAGTGTTTGGAAACCGTGTCGGTCCTCAGGCGGTAAAACAATGTTCCAGAAACAAAACCTCTGCCTACTCTGTATCAGTCTTGCATCTCTGTATCCACCTTGTCTGTATCAGACAAGATGTGTCTGATCAGTGAAGCACAGTGGAAAATACTTATTAACCTTTACTGACAGAGTCACAGTGTAACCACTTCATTAATTTATCCCTGASTGGAGTCTGTTTATCAGTCTAGTATCATTCCCTTGTAAGTACTGGTTCATGWTGACCCTCCATCAGTCCTCTGGCATCTCTCCAGATTTCCAAAGTTTGGTAAGATCTAAAATTAGTGAAATGACAGTACTGAGCTACTGTTGTTAAGACTGGGAGTGTGCATGACCCCAGACTTCTGAAGTGAAAGTACTGACATTTAGCAGTGATGTTTCACATCCTCCTTAGCTTACAGGTGCTAAATTATTTCCTCTGGTATAAACGGATTCTACTACCTTGTTCTGATATAGTAAAGCAGGAATTATGAACATCTGGTGTGATATTTTTCCCCTCTGATGGATATAAATGTTAAAGTTGTAAATAACAGAGAAGCTATTCATAAGTTAAAATTTCTGGTGATACTTAAATGTCTTCTTACTGTCTACAACATACTGAAGTTTTTATATTTCTTCTGTTTCTGTTGCCTTGCAGTCTCAAGGATCTGCTTGGAATATACATTCTATAGCAATGAATATCTCTTCTAAACACCTCTTCTGAACTCATCCTTCAGATCTGTCTATGATCTATCTATCCATCCATCTATCCATCTATCTACCTTTCTTCTCTGCTGAGATATTGCTCTGGTGTGACAAAATATGAATCCACTGTTGTTTTAAATAAATCTCTGCTGTTGTAGTTGCAAGTGTATCTTTCTYATTTGCTGAGACCAAAGTTGTGAGTGATAGGCTATGAAAGAGGTATTTCCTGGTTTTAATTATCATCTCCTCCAAACAGTGATCTTCCATCTCTGGTACACAGAACTCCTCACTTTTGAAGAGTCAGTGGAGGGAAGAAGGGCTCTTCTGGATGACTCAAGTTCCTTCTGAACAAGATGGGGATGTATCTTTCAGGGAGGTTAGGATAGGAGTTGGCAGGCTGTAACCACCATAGAGCAAGAGCTCCATTGTCTGTAGCTGCAGGAGACCAGAGYCATGGAAGGAGGCTGATCTGCAGGGACACCATGCTCTTTTCTCCAGAAACACTGCCCAACACATCCCTGTGTTGAGTGTGCCTGGCTCCAACCCATCCAGGCACAGCATCCTAGTACTTATCTCCTCGCACTCAYAGCCCACCTGCAGGCTCCTCCTCGCTCACATCCCAGCGCTGGCTGGAACACCCTGTACTTGGCACGAGGATGCTCCCCAGGACAGCACAGCAGACATCCTCTAGACACCCTGGGCAAAAATGAAAAACCTGCCAYACATCCAGTCCCCCTGCTTTATGCTCCAACCCCCAAGCAGCTGGCAGCAGTTTACCCACTCAAGCAGGACACCTCCTCCCCCTCGGATGAGGCATTTGGRCATTCCTGCCAAGGCAAGAGGAACATCTGCAATGAGGAGCTGGGACTATATCCTACTTCCCCAAYCAGAAGGAGTTGCCAGCAGGGGAAGAGTGTCTGTGGGTATGAGTTTGCTGGCAAAATGGTGATGCACCCATGTGCTTCACTCTTTAGCATGCTTGTCCTTCCCTGAACCCGTACTCTTCTTCCCTCCCTTCCTCTTCCTCCTCCTCTTTCTGCTYTTAGGTGTTCCCTTCYMTTTTTCTCTGTGTCCTTAGAGYTGCCACCAGCCAGGCCACRTGCAGCAGCAGCAGCACTGTGGAGCTCCAGTGTGTAGGTGCCTCTACATCATCCCTCAGAGAGCCTCGGGGAGGCTGCCATGAGAACGTGTGAAACTGGATAGCATCTGCTGCACTAAGTTGTTTATTCCATATTATAGAAATAAATAACAAGGAAAACAGTGATTTAAACACACAGGCACATAACCATTAATGAGTAGGTGATAAGTGAGACAATAAGGGAAGCCAGAGCTTGCCAGGCACTGAGTGATGGGCCATTAAAGGAGCCACTCCAGCTTTGGAGAGGATCTGCCTCAATTTTGTAATTGATCGAGAAAAAGCATGGTTAGTGTGAATTTTAAGGGGTATTTGAGGKAGCCTGGGGGACTGCATAAAACTTACTACAGGATGTTTAGGGAAATGATCAAAGACACAGGAAGGGAGGAGATCAGGGTGGAACAAGTATGGGAAGATGACAAGGAGGGAGGTTGTAGGGATCAGACAAGCAAGCATTTGGGTAGGACAATCACCTGGCTGGACTCTGCTCCCTGCAGTCTGGCCCACCTTCTTATTAAATCCCATSCTTAATTACCTTTTCTGTGTGCCAGCCCTGGAAAAGACTCAAGATCTGAGTTGGGAGAGCCAGGATAGAGGACACGGAACAGGATATTCAAAGGATCCATGAGCGTGGAGTGCCTATGAAGGCAGAGAATATGGAAGAGTACTGAGGGGAAAAAAGAGCCACAAAAGCAAGCAGCAACACTGACAGATATAAATACACTGGTGGAACAAAGTATCCATGAAAATGATTATGTTTGTTCAAAGTTACATTGCAGGGATTRTTTGGGTGCCACCCTRGACCTCTGCTGACAGTAGACATTTYCCAGTCACCTTCGGAAAGGCTGTTTGTGAGGGTGCTGGGCTTCAGATGTGATTTAAATACAAAGTCTCAACTGCAACAAACAAAAAAAAATTTGTATTTTATTTAGCAAGTACAATTGGCTAAGAGGGTGCTCAGCACAGCCAGGCTACTGAGAAAGCAGATCCAATAAAAAGGGTAAATCCAGTAGAACTGGAGTACTAGGAGAGAATTTACAAAGAGCATAGGGGAACTCCATTCCAGCTGCTTTCAGGCAGCCTTCATTTGTATAGACAATGTGAGGAACACCTGCACCAACAGCTGCTGAGTTAGAAAGCTGTTTTAATGAGTTTGAGGCCAATCATTTTCAACACTTTGAAAAAAGGGAACTGTGTTTGAAAATTGAAAGGCTGAGGTTCAGCTGTCTTCAGAGATGGAAAAACAACTGTCCATTTGGGTGCCTAAGTGAAAATCCAAACAACTATACCATCCTCCTCTTTGGTTCTTTGAGCTGCTGTGACTGCAAAGCAATCAAACAACCATGGTATCACTGTCAGAAAATAGTGTTCCATAATGGATTCAAGTAAAGGCTGAAAAATGGAGCACACCAGCCTGGCACACAAGGTTGCACTCTTGCCATTTCACGTGTAGCTGTCAAAAACAAAACCTGAAAAGTAGGCCTTGGAACTTTGTTTTACCTACTCTTGTAAGCTTCAACAGGCACAGAAAGGATTTATYCTTCTTGTACAAAGCCATGAAGAGAATTAGAATTAGACCAAGTAGATCAGGCTTAGGCAGCTGCAAGCTAATGGAGAGCCTTGCCACCAGCCATTCCTTTAGCTGCTACAAATGGCTGTTGAAAGYATTACAGTATTCCCTGATAAGAGAAATGCCAGCAGATAAGAAAAGTACCTGGGAAAGTATTTTTACAGAATTACTTTTTACTAAGACTCAAATCAGAAAAATTGCACATATTTTCATCTCTAGGCAATAAAACTTGAGAGATGTAAYTTTTATCTCTAGCTCTTTGAAGTTATTAAAATTCATTAAAAATATTTTTATAATGATGTTCAGAAATTATTTACATTGATAAGTACAGTCACCCTTACAATGAAGCACAGCTTCCTCAGATCACTTACTTCTGATACTCCTTCATAGCTTGAGAGACAAGTAAACTCACAGTTCTCCACCTGCTTAAAACTGAGGTAGGGGCATTTCAGTTACAGATGTATCTGATAAGAGAAGACACTGAACCTTTTTGACAGCTCTTTGAGTGAAAGATACATCCAGCACACAGGCAGCAGAGAAAACTGTTGGTACTCAAGTGTCAGCTCCATGYTCAGCCTGCACAGCTGAAGGCCAAAGCCAGGTCAGGAAGAATTTTGACAGCCTGGAGGAGTGGTTACATTACCCTAAGCTCAGCATGAACTGGATGTCAAAAGACAATTATAACTGAAACCAACACTGCCAGTACAAAACTTGCCGTTTTGCAAATGAACTCCCAAATGAGAGAACTCCCAATGAGAGAACTCCCAAATTCAGCACAGTCCTGACAAAAGACCATCTCTGTAAACTGGTCTTATTTATTACAAAGCTTGTCTTTCTTTTTCATCCTGTTAATCTTTTAAATGTCACAGTGAGATTCCACCTTTTTTGCACACTCACAATGCTGAAAAATGTAAGCAATAAAATCTGGGTAATTCACTCTCTCAAAGCGGGAAGGATCTGTCCACTCAAAGTGGAACATGAATCCCCATGCTAYTTATTTGAAGTGAAATATCCATGGGCTGCAATGAAATGCAAGCTCACTGTTTTAAAATATAGACAGAAGCATCTAGCAGTATTGCAAAAAATATTGAGGAGCAGTCAGGTAAAATGAGGGAATCCTAGAATAATCTCTTATATTTGTTTCAACTTTTAAAAGTCTTGAGGAAAAAAACCCCACATTAAATCTTAAAAAAGTTACCTGCAGTTTTAATTTCTATTCTCAAGCGCCTGACTATCTCTTTTTACAGACTGAGAAAATGGCAGTACCAAATGTTCTCAATTTTTCTCTGTGTGCTGATAGCAATAATTTCTGACAATAAGTTTGAGCTGGCGATATACAACAGATTGATTTTTTGTGAAACTCTTTAGAGTTTTTATKTCCACTGGAAGATTTTGTTTCTAGGAATCCATGAAGTTAATAAAGTGAGATCCACTAAATTAAAGTGACAAAATAGACGGGTTATCTGTAGCAAAGCTTTTTTTTTTCTCTACATTGCAGTAACTCTCTCTTTATATGCCATTAAAACCTTCCTGGAATATAAGTTTCATAGTTGCTTCAGAGGAYCTTTCAGTCATTTCTCTAACACAGCTCATACAAATTTAAGCTAAAATTTTCCAAGTAGTCTAAATAAGATGAGGAGATCATCATTAGTCATTGTCAATGAGATCTTTTGAATATTGCATCCATACTACTTATTTTGACTAGGAACTCTAAGTACTCTATTTCTTGTCTTGAGTCTGCCTCCACCTTAGGCTCAAATAAATGAAGAATATCCATTAAACAGGTGATCAAATGTGTACTGCTAATTCACACCTACAACTGAGTTTGTATACCCCTTGGTTATGAGTCTAGAGATAGGAAATATTAATAACATTTTTTTTAACTACCAGAAACACACCTACTGGTTTACATAACAATTATTTGTTCTCCTGGTCAATTTTCAAGAGTTTTGGCATCTCAAAGTATTTTAATTAAATCCTCTGATAAGTGAAGGTAAGTACAGTCCCTCATCTTTATTGAGTGTCTCAGAGTAACCCAGGTATGGGTGGCTGCTGCAGAGCTGATGTCACAGCAGCACATTCCAAGAAAATGTTACATAGCTGTACTTAAAARAAATTAACTGTGCCCACAAGAGCTTCTCTCCATACAGAAAAAAAGGCTGCCCAAATGACAGGATCAGGTGTGGATGTTTACAATGTGACATTTGAAGTTAAATGAATTCTGCCCAGATATTCCACGTACCAACAGTGTATGTCACTTTCCCCTAAATATTGCAGTGTGGATTTCATATTCTCCCAAAGTTTTATACTCCCAACACCTGTAAATCCACAATCCACCCCGCAAGAAGGGATGTGCTACTAAGTCAATTAACAATTCCTCTTTGAGTAATTAAGTAATACTGGCACATGACAAAAATACTTTGGGGATAGACAAAAAGACATTTCTATTGTGGCTCTTTCTATCACAATAACCAGTCTTTGAATCTGCAGCTCAGTACTGGCCCTTTTTACTTGATTGTTCAATGTCCTTCAGTTAAGTTCTTTGCTTGTTATTCTTGCTTTGCTSCAAGGGAATTTTAGTCAGTGCTCTGGCCCCCCTTTGGAGTCTCGTAACCCTTAGCTACACCAAGAGACTGTGGCTGATATTAACCAGTGTCAACAAGATTATATTGTTTGGAATAAAGATTGATGCCTGTACTGACAATGGATGTCATATACAGTTAAAGATAAAAAGCTGGTAAACAGGCATCAAATATTTGGTTTATGTCAAAGCATTTGTAACCAGGAAAATGAAGAATAGCAAGACTTTTGATTATAAGAAGAAAAAAGTGAAGTTTCTAGGTCTATAGTTCCAGGCTTCTCTACATTTCCAGCATTCCCCTTTCTACAAAAGMATGACATGGATCCTTAAGGTAAGACAAATTACACACTTCATTTACTTACAGGTCTTAAGWAACCATTTATAAAATCAAAGCAACCAGAACAATAACAATACTAATAGACATAAATTTTCACTTTACAGACATCTTTGTCTTCACATTCTCTTTGCCTATTGTAATAATAGAATGTATTGTCCCTTCTCTGAAGTTTCTTAATGAATCCAGTTTCTGGCCAACACTCTACCTACAAACAGAACAAAAAGGATATACAATCACCTGAACATGCTCACATTAAACRATATTGGTGCATCCATTACAAGGAATATAGGGTATAATTCCATAGGAAACCCTCATTTGCATCTAAATACTACTTTTCTATTAATTTGCTGAACTTSTAAAACCAGATTGAGAACAAGATATCAGAAACCAGTTTGCAGCTTTAGTATAAGGTTATGTGATCTGAAAAGCCTAGAAAGAGGAATCTAAGGGTATTTGACAGGCTAATTTAAAATTGGAGAAGTCAAAGTTTTGAAATATAACATTGTTTAGAAATATAACACTGGTGCTATTCAGTTATTCATTAATCTGAGAGGCTGCAAGAATCTGCTTTCATAAGACTGACATACTTAAAGGTTGCTTTCAGTCTTTCTGACCATGAAAAATGTACTTTTCATTTGCAATTTCATGAAAATAAAGTAAGCTGCAGACTGTATCAGTTTCAAAGAGAGCAGGATCAGTCCCACAWAAACCCAGCACCACAATGGTGCTCTTCTTCACTGTTCCAGTGTAAAGCTTTAAATTACAGGCTTGAGCACTKGCACATTCAACAGCTTTATGCCTTTAGTAGCTCTCTCAGCTTGAGCATCTATGACTRCTTCTGATTAAACCGAACTTTAAAAATCAGGTAATAAGGATCTTATTTTTCTTCCAGGCAGATCTGACAACGGGATGTCAGACTAGAGCTTTCTCTAAGTGGAGGGCCCCAGAAGTGGTTTCATCACTTACCTTATGACTTCAGGCATACAGCTATGTTATTTGCATTGTCTGTCTAAACATAACAGCCTTAATAGTCATTTGACCTACATTATAATTGAATCTTTAGTAACAGGTGCATTATAGAAATCTAATATGGACTCAACAAGACATTTCAGAGCAGGTAAATTGAAACAGAGTAATTGCCAAGCCTTGGCAGGCTGGAACAGACTGCACATTCACATTACAATGAGTCAGTGGTGTTCTTTAACATTCATCAGGGTTTAACTGTCAGTGGTTGTGCCCTGCCATAAATCTTAAACACACAGATCCTACCACACTAACTACATGATTTCCTTCTGCAATTACTAAAAATTATACCACAGCCTTTACAGTGGTATCTGAGCCCATGAAAAAATAGTAAAACTATCTTATTATGCACATCAATGTTTTGCTGCGTTGTGAGKTAACTGGATGGGGAGTGACTTTCTTGGAACTTTCAGTGCTTTCTTATGTGCACAGGAGGTCACATCTTTCAAAAGTGTGTTCTTCATACCATATTTGCTGCTTTGGAAGATAAATTACAGAGCTGTAATAAGGATGATGTCTTGTTTGCTGTATTAACCTCTTGGTTGCTGTTTTGAACCTCAAGTAACTATTGAATATTTGGCTACTGCTCAATAGCTCATTTGATGTGCTGGGGAGAGTCACCACCAGCTGTCCTTGCTGTTGACAAGAGGCTGTGTCACGACTGCTCATGACTGCCTTTAGCACAGATGGCATCAAATATTTCTATTGTGGGCATCATTTTGATAGAGGCCAAGTTTTGAGTGTGCACAAAGTCTACCTGTGCTACCACAYAATCCAACTGCAAACTGAAGCAGCAGCAATGACACAGGACTGACTCCATGGACAGCCAACGACTTTCCTACCAAGTCTACTGACAGAATAATGGGAAAACATCAGAGAATTCACTTTGAAATATTTCTTCCCTCAATGCTGAATTATTACTTTGGAGATTAGCTGTGTCTATTCAAAGAAATCTATGATGCTTCGAAATGCATCAGAGAGGGGAGAAAAACCACAGGCTGGGTAGTGTTTTTTSTTTCACTTGTGTGAAATGAGTTATTCTGCACAGTTAATGACAACTCAAGAATTCAAGTCAGACCTGGGAAGAAACACACTGTATCAGAATCTAGCCTAAATGAAAGAAAATAAGTAGCACCTCTACTTTTATTTAATCATCTAACATGAGACAGAAGTTGAAAGTAATAACCCTTACAAAGTTCTAAATCTTACCTCATCGACTTGTTTTACTTGTTTATAYTCCACCTCATCCCTGTATCCAGCTTGCTGATATCTGTATAAGTTCTCTACATCATCTGACCATATTTTGGCACGATGCATAGATTTTGGTTTGATGTCARCTTTAGTCATGACTTCAGAAACTTCAGACTTCTTCCTGAAATTAGACTTAAAAAAATTAAACAGAGAAGACAGAAGCAAGTAATTTTTTGAGGACATAGATAAAATTTTAAAACAAAGGAATTGCAGACTTCAAAGTCTGAGATTAAAAAAGGAAAATGTTATAAGTAGCTGGAACCAAATTAAATGCACTACTTGATCTCAAAAACTCCAACCCATCTGAACTTCCATATACACATTGACTCAACCTTACTAAAATTCAGTTGTGCATACTGATGTATTAAAATAATATTAAATGCTGTATTTTTTTAACTTCATATCTTTGCAGGTGCTGTCCCCTTAGGGCTGGCAGACATATTTTCAGATTTTCCTTTCTTCTTCCTGAAGAGGCAACAAACTGGGAACCACAGAAGGAAGATCTGGGCTGTTACTGAAGAACAGCAAACACTCAGGGTGAGAGAGGAGAGAAAAAGAGCAATGCATRCACAGTCAAATGGACACAGTGCAGAAGACAGAGATAAGGTCTTGAGAGATAAACTGGATAAGGAGACAAGGCACATGAACTGCCAAAATTCAGTCTTTTCGACCTTTGCCCTATCAAACTGACTTCATCCTCACACAAAACCCATTTATGCAGTCTGCTGAGAAATAGTAAACAGGTTAATCAACTGTTAAACCTGAAAAGAGCAGAACTGGGACGTTGAAACTCAATCAATAAAAAAAAAATATCTAATAAATAAATGACAAAACCCCCCAAAACAAACAAAAAAGCAATAAAAAATTGCAGACAGTGGATACTCACTGGGGATGGATTTAAACTATATTAAAAAAGTATGAATCATTTGACCTTGTATCTGAATTTCACTGAATTTGCTTTCTTGAATGCACCTTATTTCACTACTAAAATATAACTTTTAGTTATAAAACACACACACAACACTATTATGACTAGTATGTATGATCAAATGAGAGCTCAGTCCTTTCCTAGTTTTGAAATGTCACCAAGCTTCAGCTCCATAATTAAGAAGRTCTCTCCAAGGAATGAAAGCTTCTGGATTTTGCAGTGAGAGGATGAATACAGTCTCCCTCCCTGTGGGTAGGTTGCTGCATACTAATCCTGCACATGGAGTAAAATTTCTTGGCAAGTTCCTATATCAACAGAGAGCTTGAAAATTGAGTGCTGAAATCTTATCAAATGCAAAATGCCACTAGTCTGTTAGAAAAGCAGAAATTGGAAAAAAGTCTTGCACCACAGGATAGAATTTTTTTTGAAAATCATATCAAGAATTATTGTTATCACAATGTGGAACAAGCAGAAAGAAGTCTGCACACCTGTGTATGAGAGTGTATAAGTGTATGAGAGCCATCAGGAGACAAAGAAAGAGCTTTTCATCTCTAACCAAATACGCTTTATTAGAGATCGATAAAAATATGTAAAAGAGCTCTTTTSTAGCAACACTAGAACATTTCTTGCAGTTCAGTACTCCAAGCATTGTTTTATCAGGCACTGCAGCCTTTTGCAATTGAAAGCAGCCATTTACTAACATAAAAATGTAATTTTCCCACCTGGTTATGAGGTATCAAATACAAATTAACAGGATGAGCACAAACCCTTCTTCAAAATATTTAGGGTAGCCTTTGAGATATCTATATCAACATGTTTGTTTGGGGTTTTTTTCTGCTGTGCTACAAAAGGCTCTTTTGCAGCCATCACAGGATTTTTCTGACCCTTTATATGTTCATCAGAGTTTGATCAGAACTATTGTCAGTCAATATTGAATTTTAGACAGTCAATGTAATTAGCAATAACATTAGGTCTTAATAAATGCAAAGCCATAATGAATGTGTCTTGTGATAACTTACATGTCATTAGTGTCAAGTRCTTCTTTACTGGATGTGCTGGATTCAGCTAATGAATTTTCTTCTTCGAGACATGTAGGTAGGTCTGCCACTTCCTGAGTCACCATTAATTCACAGTGCCTGCCCACAGGTACTCCTGCCCAAAAAATAAAGGTCATATATTGAAAGTTCCAGCTTTGTGACTTCAAATAATGAAAACAGCATGCAAATTTTTTTGGGCTGCTATTTGAAAATTGTGCTTTGTCTATTGTGTGCCCGAGTTCCAGGCACAGAGCTGTTTTCATTGTACCAGAGCAGGGCACAGCTGTACTCCAGCCAGGAATTCAGAAAGTGATGAAAGGCAACAGACAGATAAAGGCAAATAAAGAAGACAAGAGAATAGTAAGAAATTGAGTTTAATATTAACACTTTTCATTTATGGGGAATTTTTGAACAGTGACGTGGAGTTTGCTAAGATGACAATGTTTGCCTATTCCTAATTTAGGGTAAATAGGGAGYGCTTTGGTTTTGGGAACACATTTTTAATGTTTATCATAACACAATTATTTTGGAATCTTAACTAGCATGGCTCACAATGGTGGTTTCCTGTATAGTTACACAAACTGTAAGGGTTTATGGGAGGAGAATGTCTGCTCCCTTAGGGCATCTGCCCAAGGGAGATTTTCATCTCCCTCCATTTTCAATGCAACACGGGATTACAGGAAAGGTAGGAAACCATAAAATAAGAACATATGGGGACTCAAACCTGAACAGCAAATGAGGAAAGCAGTGATGAGAACCACACCTAGCAAGTCAGGGGGCATGTGAAGAATGTGAGAATGCTTATTGCAGCAAGGTTATCTGATTAGAGATCTTGTCAATAGGGAAGTTAGGGCAAAAGGGGAAAATAAACAAAATATGCAGAGGCAAGTACCCGACAAAACAAACATAGAGAACAAACCTCAAYTCCAGCACTAATAGATGAGCTATCAAGAAATTACAGGAATGACATCCAGGGTGCTCAAACTGGACTTTGCACTGCAAAGACTATTAACCAGGGGCATACAGACTTGGACAGGTGTGGGAAACCATGCAACTGTATGGATCTGTGAGCAATGTGCAGGAGCAGTGAGCAACAAAGATGGGAATAGACAAAAGGGTATATAAGTATAAAATAAGCCTGACTGTGTAAAACAGGGACAGTCAGTATACATGCCAGGCTGAGCCCCACACCTGATCATTACAGACTGTCTTACTCTATTGTATCTTCTTAAATCTTCACTATCTGTCTGCATGAGCTCTGTATTCTACATGTGWGTGTGTTGCAAGGACAAAGTGCCAGCTCCTGGTGAGACCTGTGTGAGAGTGAACACTTTTGACAGCTCCCGGAGTCAGGCTGGGGGCATGAGCACCTCTGGCCTGTAATACCAGCTGCTGGAGCAGGTGTCAGTTCTTAACTTCCAAACACTGGAGCAGGAACAGGAATGCATCCTGAAAAATTAGCTGCTGGGGAAGGACTGTCATGAATGAGGGGCTCCATGTCAGCAGGTGGTGCAGGACTATGGGTCACAGCCTGTGCAGCTGGTGCTAGGGAAGAGTGGTGTCTGTATCTTCGCTCATTTTGGTACACTTACGGTGCACATCCATATTCACCAGAAAACTTTAACCTGAAGAGTAGAGACGCCTTGAGGCCAGGCCAGGGTATCAAGTGGCACAATGGGCCCTGGGCCAGAGCAGGGGGAGGAGATGGCTGTATATCACTGATCCAAGGACCATCCCAACACAGGGCATATTTGGGGACTCAGAAGTAGTAGGAGAGTAGGAGATTTCACAGTAGGAGATTTCACAGAATGTAAAGGAGTTGGAAAGGACCCTAAAGAAAGGACCCTAAAGATCATCTTGCTCCAACCCCCTGCCATGAGCAGGGACACCTTMCACAAGACCAGACTGGTCAAAGCCCCATCCAGCCAGGCCTTGAACACTGCCATGGCTTGGGCACCACAGCCTCGTTGGGCAACTTGTTCCAGTGCCTCACCGCCCTCCCTGTAAAAAAATTCATCCYAATATCTAACCTAAACTTCCCCTCTTTCTAGTGACTTCCACCTACTCTACGCGACAGTTCCTTGTACGTTCCAAAGCGCGCAGGCAGACATCTCGGCCTGAATCAGCGCTGCGACGGTAACTTCACCGTGCCCCCACCGCCATGGCTACAGCCCGCCCACCCAGCCCTTAAGGCAGCCCACCTCGGTTGGAGAGATGGGAAGCGGGGCCTCTTCCCAGGCGGTACGGAGCGGGGCGGAGCGGGGCGGGGCGGGGCGGAGCGGCGGCCGAGGCGCTGTGGCCGCCCCTCACGGCCCCTGCCCCACTGACGGCTCTCCCCTCACGGTGCCAACGGTCGCCAGGCAACCGCCCGCCATGGCCTCTTTAAAAGGCCGTGCCCGCCCCTGATAGGTCGGCGCGGGGCGGGGTCGCGTCGGGATTGGCTGGGGGCCGGGCGGGCGGAAGCGCGCGCCGCCCGCCATGAGCCGGTTCGGGGGTCGCACGCGTGAGTACCCGGCTGTGTCCATCGACCGCTTCGACCGCGACAACCTGCGCGCGCGCGCCTTCTTCCTGTCGCACTGCCACAAGGGTGAGGGGCCGGGACTGTCCCCCGGGTGTGTTCCTCCCTCTGTGTGCCCTTCCCCCCGTGTGTCCCTCCCCTCCGGCCCGCCCCGTGTGTCCCCCGACTGACCCGGTGCCTCTCTCCCCAGATCACATGAAGGGGCTGCGGGCGCCCGCCCTCAAGAGGAGGCTGGAGGGCAGGTACGGGCTGGCGGCGGGGAGCCCTCGGGGAGGCGGCTGGTGCGAGGCAAAGCGTGAGCAGAACGGCGTGGGGAGCTGYCCTGGGYCATAAATCACAGGATGGGAATGRGAYAGGGASACTTCYCRCTMGACCAGGTTGCTCCGAGCCCCGTCCTGTCTGGCCTCTAACACTTCCAGGGACGGGGCATCCACAACTWCTCTGGGCAACTTGTTCCAGTGCCTCACCACCCTCACTCAGTGTAAAAAACATCTTCTTTGTGTCTAATCTAGACCTGCCCCCTTTCAATTTGAAATCACCCCTGCTTGTCCCCACCATGACCTTGTAGAAAGTCCCTCCCTATAATTTTTGAAAGCGCCCTTTAAATATTAAATTTTAGAAGTGAGGTCTCCCCAGAATTTTCTCCAGGCCCAAGAATCCCAACTATCTCAGCCAGCCTCCATGGGAGAGATGCTCCAGCTCTCTACGAATCGTCATGGCCTCCTCTGGACCTGCTCCAGCAGTTCCCTGTCTTTCCTGTGCGGGGTCCCCAGACCTGAATGCAGCAGGTGGGGTCTCACCAGAGCAGAACCGAGGAACAGAATTCCCTCCTTGTCCTGTCCATGGTGCTTTTCATGCAGCCAAGAATACAASTGGCTTTCTGGGCTGCAGATGCACACTRMTGGCTCATGTCCAGCCCCTCATCCACCACTACCCYGAAGTCTTCTGTAGGGCTGCTATTAACCCATTTATTCCTCAGTGTCTTTTGATACCAGGGGTTGCCCAGACTCGGGTACACTTGTCCTTGTTGAACTACATGATGTTTATGAGCTTCATGAGGATCTCTCTGTTATTCCCTGGGAGCGTGTTGGTACACAGAGACAGTGCTGTGCCTGTGCAGTGAAGGGAGCCAGCTGTGCTTTCTGAGGTGTATAAGCAAGCAGGCAGCCAGCAATTTGAGGGAGACGATTATTCTCCTCTGGCCCACTTGTAAGAGTTGTCTGGAGTACTGAGTCCAGTCCTCGGCTCCTCTGGACAGTAAACCAACAGTGTTTTGGAGAAGGATTACCATGCTGGTCTGGGACAGGAGCATGKGATGTGTGAGGAGAGGCTGAGAGAGCTGGGTGTCTTCAGCCTTAGGAGACAATCGTATCACTGTTTGCAGGTAGGGGTGGAGAAAATGAAGCCAGACTCTTCATGRAGGTGCATAAGGAAAGGGCAAGGGACACCTTTTTCACCATGAGGATGAACAAATGTGGCAGTGGGTCCAGGGAGGTTGTGGACCATTTCCTAGGCTCTGTTTGATTTATTAGAGTAGATGTTGCATCTCCTCAGATGTAAGCAGAGAATCCCTTTGCTCATCATGTCTCTGTGCACAAGCTTAAGCTTCATATGGAGTATTCAGTGTTCTGCTGTGTGCTGACTGTCCCAAATGCTTGTTCCAGGGGTGTGTGCAGGGCTACAGAAACAAGCAGATAGTTCTGYACATGACCATGTACCACACATTGCATTTATATCTACGCAAAGCCATGCAGGCGGGGGCACACAGGGGTAAGTTTGGATTTGTTGTGCTTAAAAATAGCCTGCAGGCTTCAAGCTCTGCAGGTCTCCTCATATGAGARGTTTCTGAGCTTAGGGATTGATGTACTGCGTGCCAGGTACTGATGTGTCATTAGATTGTTCCTTGYGTCTACCTTAAAAAACACTTATCTGTGTTTTTTGTCTCCTCACAGCTTGAAAGTTAAACTATACTGCTCACCAGTAACTAAGGAATTGTTGTTGACTAACTGGAAATACAAGTTTTGGGAGAATCATATTGTGAGTGTGTGTTTATTTTGAAATTGGCACTTTCTGAGCAGTGATACTTGGAAAGAAGTTCCCCTCTCCTCAGATTGTCTAAATATTTGTGTTGATAGTGTTTCAGGGCTTAAGTGCCTTTCCTGCTGCTTGCTGTGTGGGATTGGTTTATTGCTCTCTGTTGTTTAATTATTTTTCCTGCCACAAAATTTTTCCTTTTCTCTCAACTTCAGCTTTACATGGCCTTCATCTTTACATTGATCATTTGTACTCTGGAATTTGTATTCATTTCCTTACCTTGCTCATGTGTCTTTGTGCTTACTTTCTCATTTGCTTCACTTAAAATTTCTTATTGCTTGGAGTATATATAATCTGTAGTTATTTTCTTTTCCTTTTGCTTTTTGGAAAATGGACTATAACATGAAGAAATTAGATCATATAAAATTACTCAAGAACTTAATATTTTTCATGATTTCCAGTGTTTGAAGCCAAACTGCAAGGGACTGTTAACACTCAGTACAGTGTTAACTACAGGTTGTAGTTATTTGCTTCCCTTTGCAGATAGAGATATTATGAAACTGAACATGAGTTTTTTTTACAGAAATAAAAATAATTCTCTCTGCACAAACACAGGAATATGTGSTCCTGGTGATTTGTGGGCTCTGCTTCTGGTAACAGGGGGAAGTGGGAAGTGGGAAGTGCTGCAGCACAGAGGTATCCTAGGAAGATCCACTGCTGTGCTCTGGCACTGGGATGYTTTGGGCTTTGTAGTCATCCAAAAATAAGGCATGAGATCCACAGAGGARCAAGAGCTGTTGCTACAAGAAATCCAACATGCTCTAACTTCTGTACACATGCACACTTTTGGTTGAGGTATCTCCATTTAATTTTTAGATAACTTTCAGAAAACTATTCCACTGGAAATGGAAATTTATGACTTACTATGGGAAAATGAGTTTAATTTTACAGGCTTAGCATTAGCCATAGTGAGTGCCAGAGATGTCTGCATAATGAATATCTACCTGTAAACATGAAACAGAGTGTTCAGTAAATCCTATAATGCAATTAATCTTTTTGTACAGGTTGCATTGGAAGTTGAAACTCCAACCCAGATTTCCTTAGAAGATGAAACATCTGGTGAAGTAAGTTACAGGGAAAGAAAGATTCATATTAGTCATGGGYAGTAATGCTGTTTAAATGAGTACAGGACACACAGCAGCAACATTCAAAGCAGACAAGCTCTTTTAACATGTATGTGCTCCTCCTCTTCTCTAGTGACAGAACAAGGGGTGATAGTYTKAAWYKA